ACATTCCCATTGGAATCAGGAACCAGAAAAGGCTGTCCACTATCTCCACTTCTCTTTAACATAGTGCTTGAAACTCTTGCAAGAGCAATATGACAAGAGCAGGAAATTAAAGGAGTAATAATTGGAAAAGAAGAGATCAAATTATCCCTTTCTGCAGATGATATATTATCTAAAAGATGCCAAAAATTCCACCAGAAAACTTCTAGAAATTATTAACATGTTCAGTAAAGTGGCAGGTTGTAAAATTAACATACAAAAGACTAGAGCCTTTTTAATCATTAATAACAAATACCAATAACAAGCAATCAGAGAAAGAGTACATGAAAATACTCCCTTTCACAATAGCTTCAAAAAAAATTATCTTGGAGTAAACCTGACCAAAGACATTAAAGACCTCTACAATGAAAATTTTAAATCTTTAAAGAAATAGACTGAGGAAGACATCAGAAGATGGAAGGACCTCCCATGCTCATGGATTAGAAAAATTAATATTGTGAAAATGACCATCCTACCACAAAAGTCATTTACAGATTCAATGCAATACCAATCAAAGTCTCCATGACATTTTTCACAGAATTGGAAAAAAACATCCTAAGATTCATATGGAAGCACAAAAGACCTCAGATAGCCAAAGCAACCCTGAGCACGAAGAGCAATGCCAGGGGGATTACTATACAGATTTTAAGCTGTATCACAGAGCTATAGTCATAAAAACAACATGGTACTGGCACAAAAATAGACCCATAGATCAATGGAACAAATATCAGCCACCTGATATTTGACAAAGGGGCCAAGAATATTCACTGGAGGAAAGATATTGTGTTCAGCAAATGGTGCTGGCAAAACTGGATCTCTACCTGTAGAAGAATGAAACTAAACCCCTATCTTTCACTCTGCACAAAAGTCAATTCCAAATGTAATAAAGAACTCAATGTAAAGGCTGAAACTCTGAAACTGTTAGAAGAAAACATTGGCAAAAACCTACAAGATATAGGTGTAGGAAAGGATTTTCTAAACGGGACATCAATTGCTCAGGAAACAAGATCAAGAATTAACAAATGGGACCTTGAAACTAAAAAGCTTCTGGCAACCAGGGACGTGAACAGAAAACCCACAGAATGGGAGAAAATTTTCACCAGTGACACATCTGACAGAGGTTTAATATCCAGAATATATAACGAACTCAAAAAATAGAGAATCAAGACAAGAAGTAACCCAATTAAAAGATGGGCTAAAGAGCTGAACAAAGAGTTCTCAAAAGAAGTAAAGATGGCTATGAAGCATCTTGAAAGATGTTCAACATCACTAATAATTAGGGTTAGTGATCAAGAGAATAAATGATACCAAATGTTGGAGAGGATGTGGGGAAAGGGTAACACTCATCCACTGCTGGTGGGGCTGCAAACTTGTTCAACCCCTATGGAAAGCAGTGTGGAGAACTCTT